TATATAAATGGGTGACTGGGTGCTACATTTTTTTCCTTCAAATATGCTGAATCAGACCAGTTCCTGAATGGACGTGAGATAATAATAATCGAGATTTTTTGTGAATATCAACCTGTGTAGTTTTTTGCAGACCTAATAATATTGTACTGACGCAGATATTGCTTATCAGGACGCGAATAACTTTATTGCACATTAAAAAACTGACAAGTCGCAAGATAATGATTGGGAGTGGCTAGTTATACACTTTTTTATTTAGCTGTGCATGACGGAAGCAACTGTTAAATGAAAGAATTGTTGACTGCTTTGTAGTATATGGCGTACGGCGTAGGTGACATACTGATGGATTGCTGACAGTTGTTTTTCTGATGTAATGCCATAATAATTGCGTAGATTTTTGCACGCAGCTAAAACATTAAAATCAAAATAAAACAGACATAACAGAGGCGCACCAGTTAAAGCTATCGTGCCGAAATCATATAAAAACTTGAGAATGAAAACGCAAAATTACACTGTACCGTCACTGAACACTGAAGTAATAGGTTATTGACTATGTACTTTAGGTAGGAACTACAACGTAACATAAATTTTATTGTTTGATATTAACCCTAAAAAATGATAAAACCGCGGAGTGCTACCTTTTAAAGGGGTGCGTTTTTGAGAACGAAGTAAAAAGGTGGTATTTTCAGAATTTTGAGTTTTACTCGAAAACTATGCATTTTTTCACTATAGTTTTCAACAGAATAGTTGTAGCAATTTCCCATCGAAATGAGACGTCAAAAAAATTTATAAGATTATACACTTACACCGCACCTTATGAACACCTTCTCGGAAACCCATAGTCATAAACTAATGAAACAGTGAAGTACCTATTCGGCCGTTCGCGTTTTATACAAGGTGCAACGACAGTCGGCGTATCCGCTTTCAAAGGCGACATTGCAACAGAACAACGGTGGCTAACATCCATCACCTTGGAAGGGGTAGTGAATTTTCACAATTTGCATATTTCTAAACTTTCTAGAAAGCTATCTATTTGAATTATTAGAGGATGTTCCATTAAATATACGACAAAATATTGGATACAAATGGATAGTGCTGCTTGAGGAGAATAATACAAGAAAGGGTTAATGAAAATTATATGGGGCGATGGATAGGCAGAAGACCAAATGCCAATGTCGACCACAATGTTGGAGAGGGTCCTGTGTCTCGGCCAGCTAGATCGCCAGATCTAAACCCCCTGAATTTCTATGTTTGGGGTTACCTATATGAAAAGTAAAGTTTACTCCAATAGATACTAGACTACAACTATTGTAGCGAATAAAACGCAAATGTAATGAATTAAAAGAAAATCACCACATGTTATTAGCTTCAATTAGTTCCATTAATAGAAGATGTCAGAAATGTATGGATGTGGATGGTTCGCATTTTGAACAATTGCTGTAAATACGTAACATTAATTTTGTTTCTTGTTTAGTTGTTGTTGCTTGGTTAAATGTATTTTTACAGGTTAGGCCACCAGGGGAAATTAAAACACACCAGGAACACTACCTCACAGGTGACGGGAAAGAATTTTGTTGATGTGCTTACAAATTGCACTTACTTTTAAGCATAAACATAAATATGCTTGTAATATTATGGTTTGAAGTGTCTACCACAAGGGGATTGTATTGGTATGAATAACTTGAAAATGGTGAATCTTAGGGGAAAAATTCAAGTTACCTTGTTTACGTAGTTAGTGCATTAGAATATTGATCCGTTACAATAACTTGTAAAAAATACAATGGCGTGCGTTTTTTTATAAAAAGGGTGTGACCCCTGTCCAGTTGTACACCACTGATTGAACCTTTAGGGCTCATATTTTAGGGAATAGAAGGTTTACTATCATACATTATCTGTACCAAATTTTATTGAGATCGGTTAGAGATTCCGGATATACAAATAAAAAATCAATTTTTTTTACAACTTCAACACCCTGTGTCTCTAAAACGAGGCCGTTCCAGACATATGTTTATAAGGCAAACTCTTATTATTTTAAAGAGATCTATTTGTCCTCGAAGTTTCCTGCATAAAATTCGGACCACCCTGTATACGGTTTTTAATAATTATTTTCTGAAGAAAATATAGGAAGTCATCTTTTTCAGAAAATTTGACATTTTCCAATCAAGGTAATTGGCTAATTTCTCAACTTCAGGCATTTTTAAGGCCTATTAGATTTTTAAACTGAAATAAAAATTATTCTGATGGGGATTGAGCCTACATAGCCATATTTTTAAGAAAACAAATCGCTGAAGTGATTTCCCCAAAATCGATTGTAAAGTGCAGTAGACCATGCCAACTAGATCACCGTACTTGATTCAGCTAATACATATATCTAGAAGGCAACTACATATAAAATTTTTTAAATATTTACATTTCATATACTCGTAGTTTATCTCTGACTAGAGAGTGAAAGTATTTGAAAACCGAATTAAAAAATAAAACTATCTCTTAAGAACATAAAGTTTTAGAGAAAAATTTTATAGGAAATATAACTTTTTCATATTCCCTCCTTTATCAAAGTTATGAACGAAAAAAGGGACTGGACTGCATTTCAAAAATGTTTAAATGGCCACATAAATATTTCCTTCTATTTTACAAATTAACGCTACAAAATTTTCATTAGGTACTACGTCTTATTACAAGAAATGGTGATTTTTAAACCAATCGCAGCATTCACAACAGCTGAGATTTCAAGTAAAAGAAACACGGCTAATGAGTTCATTTTAAAATAATAAAAATAATTACGAGGAAATTCTGAAATAGAAACATTCTAAAAATAATAAAATATTTACATGGAATTAAATTATATATGCCACAATTGCTGCAAGCCACAACTAGGGGAAAAACTAATACAAACGGGTAATTCTGTAAATTTAAATATGATTAATTAATTTAACAAAGTTCTTAATTTAACTATGTCTCACGTCGTATGTTTGTTCTCCTCTTAAGAGTATTTGTTTTATTAAAACTTAAAGGTATTTCCAATGTATTTCACAATTACAACATCCTTGCACCATAGACGTTCACAATATTTTTGTAGAGGGGTCCGAATTCCGACAAATATTATACTTACCTTAAGAATGCTAGAAATAGTTGAATCGTACTACAATATGGATAAAATCATAAAATAAAAGATAAGTACCTACAGATGAGCAGGATGTCTTATAATTTAGCAAATAAACGACATCATTTTTTTTAACAAAGGTATACCTTAGAGACCCTACTTGTCAGTTGTATCCTCTTACACTACTATGTTGAGCAGATCATATTTTTTATTACGTATTTGCCAGAATGAATCACCTACTCTGAAATAGGTACATATTTTTAGTATTAACTTAGGGACAAATATTGATTTTAAAGTGATGAATGAAATTTTTGAAATATATAAACATACTGAATGTTTATAGAAGTTAAACGTACACTGTACAATGTTTAATTAAGTTATGTTGAATTTTTATAAAAATAAATAAACAATTCAGAATTTTGTGAGCTTTATTTCTGTACGAACCACGCATAATTGAATAAATTGAAAACGCCCATTTCTTAAACGATTTCATAAGTTCTAATTTTAAAGGGTGATAAAAATGAACAAACACTAAGTTGTTGAGGGTGCTAAATACATCGGCGTAGTTAGTTTTTAACCATACGCTAGATGTCGCTAGCTACGATCCCAGTGCAGTAACATTTTACGACATAAATTTTATGAGGTTATGTTTTTTACAATTTATGACTTTTTACGTAAAATTTCATTGTACACAAAATAGCTGTTGAAATCGCAGAAAGCGCGCCGTTTTTAAGCTAAACGCAATTGACACTCCCAAAGTCAACTAGTACCTATTTCTTAATGCAGGTCGCCAGAAATGAATGGGCGAGACTTCAAGGGTAATTTCCTTGGATGAAATTAAACAGATTTAGTTTAGATATAAGAAAGTTACCTTGGTATAATTTTGCTTCCTTAAAAAGTTCAATCAAAATTGCGATATCATTTCTTTGAGGATTAGCAGTCATATTAAGGGAACAAAATTGTACCATTGTAAATTCATCGAAATCGATTTATTTTTATCTGAAGTAGCTACCCATGCTCGTCCACTCTGTAGATTAGAAGTTATATTAACTGTGTGCCTTTTTGTGTGAAATGAAATTTTTCATTGCAATACAAGTAATACAACACATACTCTGTAAAAAACCTAACCTCAAAGCAGTTGTCACAAAATGTAACTAAATGATATAGCAGCTGGTGCCCTCTAACAGGTGGCTGTTCGTTCTGCACCAAATTTCAATTTAATACATAGCTTTTCAGGAAAGAAACAGCCAAAATTAGATTGTATAAAATCATCTTTAATGTAGCTAGAAATCAAAAGACAATATGGTCCATAGGAAAGTCATTTTATTGTTGTTGAACTAAATTTTTGAACTTATTTTCGCAACAACCTGTACATCGAAATGTAGCAGGTGTAAATTTCAGTGAATGTGTTAAATTTGATTTGAGCCTATTTTCTAACTAACCATATGCTATTTAGTAATTTAGAAACACGTTACAAATATAGGAAGTATCTGATTAATTCAGTTTTATAATTAGTACTGACTAATACAGACAGACGTTTTAAGTTCAATTAATAATGTGCAGCAACAGAATAACTTCATAAATACATCATTACATAAGAGTACTTAGCAAATTATATAATTAGCAAAAGTAGCAAGTAATGACACATGTTTAAATGTTGTTAATTACTATCAGACAATTACTTAATCATTCCTAAGTACTTCATTGTATTTCAGTGAAAAATAATAAATAAACACATATTTACATACTAAGTATTCTTTAAATAGTTTGTGAAATATACAAGTCGTGTTATTAATATTAGAACCAAAAAAAGATTCACATTTTATTTGGTAATTTGCTTTTTTGAATCTAGAAGCAACAATTTGAGATTAAAAATATAAAAATATGAATAACAACTAAATTAATTTATAATGTATAATAAAAAAAGTAACATTATCACATAACATAAAATAATTATATTTTCTAAATATTTTACATCCACCTATCTTTCCTCCAACTGTTTGTCTCTTGCCACAACAGCTTCATCAAATTTTACCATATACGTAGTACCTTTATGCCAATGAGCAGTTACTTTTGCAGTCTGCAAAAAAAATATTTTTACCATCACATTATTTTATCTCCTTTTAACTCTATGTTCTGTAGCTACTTAGAATAAAAATAAATATATACTTACAAATCCAGTGCCTGTTAGAACGGCTTCAACTATTCCAGCTATAAAAACAGCACAATTAAGACTACTTTTATCACGAGGTACAGAGATAAATCGATTCACAAGAGGATCCTTCTCCATTAAATAATATGTATTTTCGTCGTCATTGGAATGTTCCAACTTATCTGCTTCTCTACCGAACAATGCCTGTACAAATGGTAAACTATACATTTACCACTAATTTCATAAATGATAACTTACCTTCCATAGGGTAGACTTAACAAAAAGCAATATGTTGAGTAATTTGATCTCTCTTTTTCCATTCTTTTCACGTACGAAGTAGAGATCAATGAGTTTAATGCCTACCTTTCGGCCTAATTCGTGCAGTCTAAAACAATATCTCCTGTTAGCTGTCAACTTTAGAGTCAAATATGTAATAAAATTATTGTAATTTTCTTTATCTACCTGTTCTGCAATTCTGGGACAGTTTGGGACTTGTTCTGGCAATATTGCACCACTTCTGAGAACAACAGAGCAAAGCAACTCAAAGAAACTTCGCCTTTGCCTCTGCTCAAAGGTTTATCTAGAATACTAAGACGATTCCTACTCGTCAAGCTCATATTTTACGATAATTTTCTATTACTATGAATTAAAACGAGGTTATGTTTATCTCTTTTTTTTAAATTACAATTATTGCTGTTTTTGCCATAAGCGAAGGTCAGAAGAAGAATAGGAGTTCAAACGATATAAATAAAGATAAAAATACATCTGACACTGAAAGATATAGGTCTATTCTCGTCCTAACAATATCTGTTTCACAACCACAGACTTCGAACATAAGCTTTGTTTGCACAGCCGTTCAAACTAGTTCGGGATCAGTCAGAAGCAGTCGTCCAGCTACTTTCTCTGCTACTTCCCACAAGCATAGCATAAAAGAAGTAGCTAGACGATTGCTTCTGACTGACTCCAAACTGGTTCGAATAGCTCTGCGAACAAAGCTATTTACTACTGGATACTGGAGGTAGCATGCCATTGCGAAAAGTGTGGCTGAGTGTGCGAGGGAGACATACTATCTTAGTAGATGCTGTTTCACTCTAGTACGCACGCGATTGGTTAAAAATGAAAGATCCAACCAATCGTCTGCGTGCTAGAGTGAGACACCATGTACTGAGCTACTATCTATCTCTCTCGCACATTCAGCCACACTTTTGGCAATGGCATGCTGGAAGACCACAAATTAATAAATCGGAGCTGAAATATCAAGACCCGTAATGAATAGGTAATTATGAGATAAATATAAAATCCTGTAAACGATATTTTTTAACCGTTGTAGCACGTAGTATGTTATGTAAAATATCTTCTGAATTTAAAGATTTAAGCTCAAAAAATGAGGAAAATAGAACGACATTGCCGCCGCAATACAGAAAACAATAAGAACAGTAGAGCATATACGTCATAGAGGAAGCAAGTGACAGTGTAGACGAGTGACAGAGAAAGAGATAGTTTGGGTACCATCTTTCTCTTTCTCTTTCTCATAGGCACGTGAATAGCTAACGAAATTCCTTTCACAACGATCAAAGAGAGAGCGAGTACACAAACTGTCGCTCTTTACAACATCTTCATTTTGTAATACGCGGTGTTTCCTCCATATAGTACACACTCTAAGGTAAGAACAGACATCTTGAAAAGTAGCTAATTCTCTTTTCTGTTCTGTGGATTTATGAGTGCTATCGAATTTTTTAAATTTCCGCGGGAAATTGCCTTTTTGAACATTTTCAAGCAATATAGGTATACTGATTACTTCATATCAAATAAAATTGAAAACTACTTCCCTACAAACAATTAAATATATTCATAGATAATTCAGAAGCAATTGTGCTGATTTGTATTACACTATACACTGTGGTAGTACTATAAATATATATAAATATATAAAAACATATACACAGGGCGTTCATAGAAAAAAATAACAAATTTAAAAAAAATGTATATGAACTTACCATTTGCACAATGAGGCCATTAATATTATACTATTATTAATTTATAAATCCTCAAAAGTTTATTTTTATTGATTTGAGAGCAAATGTTATCAATATTTGATTATAATCTTGGTGTGAATCTAGTAGTAATTAAAATACAACTTATCTTGAATTTAAGAAAATAGAGTAATATAAAAAATCTTGTTCTAATTAGTACAAATATTGTCTTTACCAAAGTTGTGAAAAATTATGTAGATCGATCAGCAAAAATTATATATAATTGAGGTAATTGAATAAGAATAAGTCTTATCAACGTTACAAGCAAAACAATATTAATTTTTGGATTCGTTATATTTCTAATAATCATCATTTTATTCTCTAAAAATTAAAATAATGGTTTTCTAGTCAAATATATGTTAATGTTTGTGGAACTTATATCAATATGTGATATGTTTGACTCTATTGATAACCCCACAGTTAATAAACTGTTTACTGCATATATAATGCAATAAACAGATTGTTACAAAACAAAAGTAAATAATGTCAGCATACAGAACTGAAGAAACGATAACATAATCTGTAACAAAAGAAATAAACGTCTAATACAGAGATGCAAGTAGCAGCGAATAGTGTAACACTTAAATTATTTTCTTTTTGTAGAAATTACATTGCCTTAAGAACAATGGCTGCATCTAAACCAGAATATCTCATAAATGACTCTAAATATTCATTTTTAAAAGAATTAGGGCTGCAGGAAACCAACTTAGGAGTCTTCGATGGTACATGGAAAGGTTCTGGAAAGGTAAAAACAGTTCTTTATCTTCAATATAATACTCTAGACTTATAATAAATCTGTTAGGTAGTTCAATCGATATGCCCAAGTAACGGCAAAGTCATCGCAGAAGTGAAACAGGGAGATGTATCCGATTACGAATCATGCGTCCAATCTTCAACATCGGCTTGGAATGTGTGGGCTGACCTCCCTGCACCCAAACGAGGAGAAATTGTGCGTCAAATTGGAGACGCCCTTCGCAGTAAACTTATTCCTTTAGGAAAATTGGTCTCGATTGAAATGGGTAATGTGAATAGTACTTAGGACGGCAAGCTTTTAAAGGATATATTACAGGTAAAATTTTACCGGAGGGTATTGGGGAAGTTCAAGAATACGTCGACATATGCGACTACGCCGTGGGTCTTTCCAGAACATTAGCAGGTGCTATATATCCTTCAGAACGACCTGGACACGTTTTACTAGAAAAATGGAACCCCCTGGGACTCATAGGGGTAATATCTGCATTTAACTTCCCCATTGCTGTTTACGGATGGAACAGTGCAGTAGCAATGGTAAGTAAAATAATAACGATACAGTAATTTACCCCACAATTTTATCAATCTTAGGTTTGCGGCGATACAATCTTGTGGAAAGGTGCCGAGACGACACCGTTAGTGTCAGTAGCAACAACGAAAATTGTTGCTAATGTGCTACAAAACAATGGGCTTCCTGGGGCTGTAGCAGCTCTATGTTGTGGAGGCGCTGACATAGGTAAAGCGATGGCAGCGGACAAGAGAATCAAATTATTGTCATTCACCGGAAGCACCCACGTTGGGCAACAGGTGTTTATTTATTTTAATAAGAAAATTCTGCCAAACAAATAATTTCTGTATTAATTTATTCATATCTTAGGTGGGTGTCGATGTACAAAAACGATTCGGCAAACACTTACTAGAACTCGGCGGCAACAATGCTATAATCGTTGCAGACGACGCCGACTTAAACATGGTAGTACAAGCAACGTTATTCGCTTGCGTCGGCACGGCAGGTCAAAGATGCACCTCAACACGAAGATTGATCTTTCACGAAAATGTGAGTAGCAAAAGTTAATTTGTAGTTATTTCAATTAAAGTGTACTCTAGGTATACAATGAAGTGCTTGGACGTCTAACGCAAGCTTATAAGCAAGTTGTAAATAGGATAGGGGACGCTTTGGATGACAGTACACTCATTGGACCTTTACACAGTAAACAATCTTTAGAGAAGTATAAGGAAACCGTGGCGGAAATACAAAAGCAAGGTGGAAAAATTGAATTTGGCGGAAAGGTAAAAATATTGAAAGATAGGTTCGCTATATAAACTTTTGCCTTAGAAGATTTACTTTTTGAGATACAGGGCATTAAAATTTTGAAAAAAGCAAAACTATCTATAACTTTTATAACAAAATTTTAACATAATGTATCTCAAAAACTTTGCTTCTTGAGAAAGTTGACAGAGTACACTTATTTTTCATTGAATAGTCCGTTTCAGGAATTTCAGTATTTAAAGCGAAGTCACCCTATACAGGGTGGCCAAATGAAAACGAAACAGAGCCATTTTCAGGAACTGCGTCAAGATTTTAGAAAAACGCTCAGACCCGTCGATTTTAGATTAAAGGAGGACATTCTTTGCTGGTATTTTTGACTCCGCCACATTTACCCCCAAGCAAAGGTAAGCATCACCCCAAAATATTTAAATGGCATTGGGGCTTGAGTAATATTTCTTTCGAAAGCTCTTACAATTCTCTTTACAACAGACTTTAAATTTTATAATTCCACCCAATACTTTGAAAAAAACTTACATTTTAAAATTTAAATTATGTTTAGTTGCTTACTTACTACTTAGTTAATTAAATGTTCAAACTGACGACCGCCCGCTTTCATACAAGAATAAAGATTTTGTTCGAAACGTTCGTGCATATTCCGAAGCATTTCTGGAGTGATTTCACGGCATTCGTCGACGATTCCTTGGCGCAAATCTTCCAGCGACGCTGGCTGTGTTTTATAGATGTTACTTTTTAGGTATCCCCACAAAAAGAAGTCAAGGGGCGATAAATCCGGTGATCGTGGAGGCCACTCAATGCTGCCTCTTCTCCCAATCCAATTCCGTAGNCGCAAGCTTATAAGCAAGTTGTAAATAGGATAGGGGATGCTTTGGATGACAATACACTCATTGGACCTTTACACAGTAAACAATCTTTAGAGAAGTATAAGGAAACCGTGGCGGAAATACAAAAGCAAGGTGGAAAAATTGAATTTGGTGGAAAGGTAAAAATATTGAAAAATAGGTTGATAGTTCGCTACATAATCTTTTGCCTTAGAAGACTTACTTTCCGAGACACTGGGTGTTAAAATTTTGAAAAAAGCAAAAATCTCGGGAATCTACAAACTATCTATAACTTTTATTACAAAATTTTAACATTAAGAATCTCAAAAATTATACCTCTTGAGAAAGTTGACAGAGTACACTTATTTTTCAATGAAGAGTCCGTTTCTGGAATTTCAATATTTAAAGCGAAATCAATGAAAACGAAACAGAGCCATTTTCAGGAACTGCGTCAAGATTTTAGAAAAATGCTCAGACCCGTCGATTTTAGATTAAAGGGGGACATTCTTTGCTGGTATTTTTGACTCCGCCACATTCACCCCCAAGCAAGGGTAAGCGTCACTCCAAAATATGGCATTGGGGGTTGAGTAGTATTTCGTTTGAAAGCTCTTACAATTCTCTTTACAACAGACTTTAAATTTTATAATTCCACCCAATACTTTGAAAAAAACTTACATTTTAAAATTTAAATTATGTTTAGTTGCTTACTTACTACTTAGTTAATTAAATGTTCAAACTGACGACCGCCCGCTTTCATACAAGAATAAAGATTTTGTTCGAAACGTTCGTGCATATTCCGAAGCATTTCTGGAGTGATTTCACGGCATTCGTCGACGATTCCTTGGCGCAAATCTTCCAGCGACGCTGGCTGTGTTTTATAGATGTTACTTTTTAGGTATCCCCACAAAAAGAAGTCAAGGGGCGATAAATCCGGTGATCGTGGAGGCCACTCAATGCTGCCTCTTCTCCCAATCCAATTCCATAGAAAACGTTGGTTAAAATACTGACGGACAATTAACGCATAATGCGGAGGAGCACCGTCCTGTTGAAAAATCAAATGATCTTCATCATACTCTGGAACATTTTCAATAATATCAGTCAAGGCAGGGTCAATAGCGTCTTCCAGTAATTGCAAATACATTTGGCCAGTCAAATTACCAGGTAGAAAAAAGGGACCCACTAGCCGGTCACCGAAAATTCCAGCCCATACATTTAATTTTTCCGGTTGCTTCGTATGCACCTCGTGAAAAACTCTTGGGTTTGAATCGGACCAATAGCGGCAATTGTGACGATTTACCGTCCCGTTCAAGAAAAAACTACATTCATCAAAAAACAGATGTTAAAATGGAACTTGTGGATCGTTCTCTGCTCGCTCACTCATTATTTCGCAAAATTGCAAACGGCGGTCATAATCATCCTCATGAAGCTCCTGGACTAAATGTATTTTGTATGTATGGAATTTATTCTTCTTCAAAATGGTTTGTGTGCTAGTTCGATTGATCCCAGACATAGATGCCAGCTGCCTCGTACTTAATGTAGGATCCAGATGAACTTGTCGCAAAACTGCAACTTCACTAGTTTCATTAACTATAGGTTTTTCAATTTCTCATTTTTTATTGGCTACGTTCCCTGTCTCTTGAATTTTTTTTACTAACTGTAGAACATACTTCCTCCTGACATGTCAATCTTGATGTTGTTCATTAAATAGCTGAGCTATTCTATTTGCACATTTATTGTTCATAAACTAAAGCGAAAGGATACCTACCCTTTCTGCAATGGAATAAACCATAGTTTAATTTTCAAAAACACAATTAAATAAACTACCAACCATCGCTTCCAAATAATACTAGAAAATAATTTGGAATCTACTAATTTTACTTTCATTGTGTGTGTATAGCATTCATTTCTGTTTTTTACAAATGTGTTTTTTTTACGAAAGTGATAACAAATCCCCAAAAACCAATGTAACGCAAGAAATACTAAATTTATACCATTGGCGTGCTTAACTCGAATGACTGACATTTTTACCGTTACTAATTATTTGTACATAAGTTTCAACTTTAAAATCAAAATTCTTAATTGGGCGGAATTATAAAATTTAAAGTCTGTTGTAAAGAGAATTGTAAGAGCTTTCAAACGAAATACTACTCAACCCCCAATGCCATATTTTGGAGTGACGCTTACCCTTGCTTGGTGGTGAAAGTGGCGGAGTAAAAAATACCAGCAAAGAATGTCCCCCTTTAATCTAAAATCGACGGGTCTGAGCGTTTTTCTACAATCTTGACGCAGTTCCTGAAAATGGCTCTGTTTCGTTTTCAGTTGGCCACCCTGTATATTAACACTCTAAAGGAGTTTTATAATTTTTTTATGTAGGTACTAGAAAGACCAGGCTATTTCGTCGAACCGACAATAGTAACCGGTCTGAAACATAACAATCCTCTGGTGCACAATGAATGCTTTGCACCTATTGTGTACGTGTTAAAGGCTGAAAGTGTACCCGAAGCTATATCATGTAATAACGAGGTACCGCAGGGATTATCGTCGAGCATATTTACGCAAAACATCGGAAACATATTTGAGGTGATACTTAAGTTTTTTTTTTATTTAATTTGCAATATTGCGTCTTTCCTTTTTATTTTATGATACCAGTGGATAGGACCTAAGGGTTCGGATTGCGGAATAGTGAACGTAAATATACCCACTTCCGGAGCGGAAATAGGAGGAGCTTTTGGTGGTGAAAAAGCTACAGGTGGAGGTAGGGAATCCGGCAGCGACGCATGGAAGCAGTACATGAGAAGGTCCACGATAACGATCAATCACTCGAAGGATCTTCCCTTGGCACAAGGGATTAAATTTGAATAACATTTTAAAACTTGTGTGAAGTTTTCCGGTTCCATATATTTTGATAAAAAAATTCTAAATAAGTAACTATTCAAATTTATCACATTCCCAGTTTTGAAGTGGTGTATTTTAAGTTAGTTCTTTCCTTAAATTGGCATGAAAATTGTTTACAGAGAGTAAGTTTTAAGTAGGGGTCAAAATGTACATACTTAATAAATAAAAAGTTTATAATAAAAAATGTTACAATTTTCTTAAAGCACTGTGTTTAGTTTGTGAATCTCACCGTGAATGACTTCTGACATTGATCTAGTTTAGATGAATATCAATCCAACTGACTCGATACGACAACAGGATGTAAGGTAAGCAAAATTCAAACAGCCAATGTTAAATAAGATAATAATAAACATTTCTTAATAAAATTACTAGTCACTTGGCTTGTAATCATTTATGAAGGCTCTGGACTCCCATTCAATGTTATGTATTTTACATGTTTTTGAAAATAATGTTTTAATATCCAACATTTTTTTAAGGACCGATGCACAGTGGTCAAAAACTATAAATTCTCGATCTAAACCTATAGCTCTTAGAGTAAATTTTATATTCCAGGATGTTTTATACCCTAGAATCCACTGGAGGTAATAATATTAAACTATATTCTAGATTTCAACCCCTTTTAGGAGGTTGAATGAATCAAAATTTGTGAGGAAATGCTCTTTTAGAAACTCAAGCACACGGTTTTTTAACACTTCGACTGAATTGCGTGAAAATTCCATCATTTGATGTAATTTCAGGCGTGCTATTGGTACATCAGCCATTGTTATAAAAGATAATAATAAACATAGAAAAACATTGCAAATAACAAATAACAACACAGAACAAACAAAAACAGAACGGAAAAGTCACTGAAGCAGACTAAAAATACTGTCTGACACAAAAACGGGTGAATAACTGAAGTAAATTCATTTGTATGCCTCATATAAATAGGTCATTTACGGCTTTATCTGCAAATATCTGCAGATAAAGTCCTGGCGTTAATTTGAGATATATACGGAAGAGACTGATAACGACCTAAATTAGAGAATTGGCCCAAAATTACCTACTGGCTATAATCAGTTAAAAACCATTAAGGCTTAATTCAAAAATTACCTCAAGTGTATGAAGATAACGACAAAAGACCGTACTTTTAAGCCCTGTATAGTTAAATAAATATATAAAGGCCTGAATGTTGTACAAGCTGTCAAACATTGCGTTTTTTTCTTTTCAAGAAATAAAACAATACAATAATTCGCGTTATTTTTAACAGATTTAAACGTTTATAACTTCTATATGGAAGCTTAAATTGACCCAATATTTTCTGAAAAATTAATTCAGTATTAGAGGTACCTACCGCGTAAATTTTAGCGTTAAAAAAAGTGAAATTTTTAGGTTTCGATCGGGTTTTAAGGATTTTTGACCACTGTGCGATGGAAAAATGACTTACCATTTCAATAATCCACGGGGTGATTCTTTTTTGGCTTAATAAAGCCTTCAATTCCTACAAATTTTCTGATTCGACTCTTCTGTTGAGAAGTCCTTTTTTATTTTTTCAACTGAAGGATCGTATTTGTCAAAAAGTGGCATAAACATGGGCACGTTTTTTATGTCGATTAGCTTTTAATAGAATTGTAAAAATGTACATTCATATGGTGAACTAAACAAAGAATAATTGGCCTCAATGAACTAGAAAATTATAAAACAAATGAAAGCGACAACAAAAATTATCACCCTGTACCTCAAAAATGAAGTATTTGCAGTAACCGGTTCAAATGAAAGCACCTGTACAATTTTTGTGTGTAAAACAAATGAAAAACAATAAGTTTAAACCCATATTTATTTGTAAATATATCTATTCTAATATAATATTAAAGATCCATGAATGAAAACTTTGCTTATAAATAATTAATAGTAAAAGTATTAAATATAAAAGTGTCGGTAAACATTGTAGATGTAAATTAAAGAAATTAATATTGTTTAATAAAATCAGTGTATGTACAAAGACGTGTTAATATTGCAAAAATAAAGTTAATTGTTCCATCGTTCGTATCCCATAATGCAGACGGAAAGAGAAAATTTGATTCTAACTTTAGATGATCCATATCATTACCATGATTTTATATAATACAATTCTACTTTACAAACATTAGGGTGGCCCAAAAAAAACGAATATTTTTTTTTCGTGTAAATGTGTTAGTTTATCATAAACCCCTCAAAAAATCAGCACAAAATTTTTTAGAGGTCGCTCAAGATTTTTAAAAATTTCTAAAATTGCCAAAAATTCATTTAAAAAAAATGTTTTTTCTCATTATTTTATCATTTTCTAAGAAATTCTGGATTCTGAAAATTTCAAATCGATATTTTAATTTCCAAAGGTCACTCATAATTATTTTAACTTTCAAAGTAGTGTACCTATGTTTTCGAGCGACCTCTAAAAATAAATATCAACGTACTAATAACTTTTTTTTTTATTGAACTTGAACAAAAGAATAGAAATAAATCAGGAGACATTTAAATTTGAAAAAATTTAAAAATTATTAATATTTGATACTCACAGTGCGGTAGTAAATATTGCCTCGAAAATTTTTATTTATTTTTAGAGGTCGCTCAAAAACATTTTAAGTACACTACTTTTAAAGTTAAAATAATTATGAGTGACCTTTAGAAATTAAAATATCGATTTGAAATTTTCAGAATCGAGATTTTTTTAACCTAGAAAATGATAAAATGAGAAAAAAAATTAAAAGAAAAAAATTAAATTTTTGACTATTTTGGGAATTTTTAAAAATCTTGAGTGACCTCCAAAAAAATTTTTTAGCCGATTTTTTGAGGGGGCTCTTAAAACATGATAAACTGACATATTTTCACAAGACACGAAAAAAAAAATATTCTTTTTTTTTTGGGCCACCCTAATAAACATGTATTTACACAAACTATTTAAACAATTGAACTTCCTTCTTGGTGGTAAAATTCATTCTCATACACGTTTCACTTAAGAAATTGCCAAAAGGGTTTCTTTCTTACAAAAAACTAAACAAAAAACGAATAAGACTAAAGAAACAACCAAGAAATCCTCACCTTATTCAAAAACGTTCAGTGTTCTTTTTTATCCCGCTTTTTCCTCTTCCTCTTCTTGTCACTTTGGAGGTCTTCGTTCTTCCTACACAAACACGGCTTGCAGTACCAATTCTCGTTTTCGTCGGGCGGTACTTGAATTCCCACACACACCCAATGGTACCAAGCATCGCACCCGTCACAACCAATCATGGGTCTGCCGTCATCCTGCTGGCTACAAGCCGGACATATCCACACCTCATTACCATGCTCGTCCATTTTCTTGAAGGTTTGCTCTATTTTCTTTGGCTTTGGAGGTGGTTTTGGTTTTACGGGATGCAATCGGGGCCTGCCGGGAGTCCTGGGAACGGGTACGGGCGGTGTTTCCTCCGTAACAGGCCTTTCTGCGGCAACTGGAGTTACCGGGGACAGGTTAGATGTTTTGGGCTTCGGTGGTCCCGTAACCAAAGCCGATATCTTCGCCAGGCCCACAGGAGAAGCGTCTCGCTTTTTCTCTTCCGGGGACGGTTCTTGGTCTTTTTTAATGATGGGTTTAATGTTGAGCTTTCTTGTACTTTCTGGTGTCTCAGGCCTCGGCGACGGGGAGTTTACTTTTAGTAGTATTTTTGGTATAGGGCTTTCGCCTTCCCGAATCTCTTTCTCTTTTACTTTCTTTTCTTTCTTCTCCTTCTTAATCTTCTCTTTGCTGTCTTTTTTTAGTTCTTTTAACTTTTTCTTCTCGGATTTCTCTTTCACCTTGTCTTTTTTGTTTTTCTTCTTTATTTTCTCTTTCTTTTCCTTTTTGTGGTCTTTCGTTTTCTTATCCTTCACTTCCGAGGGCGTGGAAATACTTGGCGAGGGTTCCTCCGCGGAAATAGGCTGGGGAGCGGGTGCCGGTTGTGGTATTATTTCAACGGGTTTTTCTACGTGTTCTTTTACTTTTGGCGTTGGCGGAGCTTTGGCTTGAGAGGGCATGTTCGGTGGCATAGACGGGAAGTAAGGATTTATTCCAAAGTCCGGTATGTTTGATAAGTACGGGAACGGAAACAACGGTAAAGATTCATTTAAATTGTTTGGTATCAATCCTGGGCCGCTGTATCTCAAAAGCGGGTAAGGTATAGAAGGAGGCAGCAAATTGGGTGGGGGTTGATGTCTCATATGGGGTACAATATGTGCTTCGGGTGTCTTAGGTCGCTCCATTGTGATGTCAATGATGTCGGGCTCCAACAAGTTGACGTTCTTTTTAACCCTTTTCCGTTTCTGACCTCCGTCTTTACGCTTCCGTTTCTCTTTTGGAAGCGGCGGGCTTGGAGCGATGATTTCGGGTGTTTTCGGTGTAGACGGAGTTCCAATAGGAGAGTTGTGGTCGAAGTAACTGTCGAGTTTGTCCGGGCTCCTACTAACCGGAAATGGATTCATGATGGGTTCGATGGTAATGTCACTGGAAAGGTGGGTAATTTTGTTCACGATATCTACTGGTGAGGCTTCGTTCATTAATAAATTAGCACGGACGTCCTTTTTCGCCTTGCTCTCATGCTTTTCCTTAACGTTTGATATTTTCTTGAATATATTCACTTTTTTCTTGTCGGGTTCCGAGAAAAGCTTATCGACTTGGCTCAAAGGTGTCGGGGGCGGGTGTGGGGATCTCGGCTTCATCGGAATTGGAGTGATTGTCGTATTAAACTTCTCCGTTTTCGCTTTAGCTGCGGCAAGGTCCTTATTGAAGTTTTGTTTTTGTGGCGGCTTATGTTGAGGAATCGGCAAAATCTTAACCTCGTTCGATGTACTGACGTTGGCAGGGATGACATTTGGTGTTGAATTTGCAGCAGCCATATTCGCAGCAGCCGCAGCGGCAGCTTTCATCTGCTTCATCTTCACAACGTCTTTCATCGTGGGAGTCTTTTTGAGAACTTTCTCTTCGGAGATAGGCTTGAACAACTCTTTCCCCAGTCTCTCCTTCTTCTTGTCGACTTTCTTTCTGCCGGATTCGAGCGGACTTGTCGTTACGGGCGGTGCGGGTTCAGGAATCGGTGGGGGAGCAGGCGTTCGAGCTTCGGGAAGTTTTCCTTCTCGAGCTGGCGAGAGAAATCCCGAAGTAGTCATCATCACACTACTTATTTCTCGAGTAGGCCTGCTACCCTCTTCTTCTCGTTTGGGCCTTTTGAATTCTGGAGATGATACGTCTGCCGGTTTCTTAAACTGCTGTGCTCCATCGGTAGTTTCTTCCTCCGCAACCTCCTGTTTCACCGCTACGGTTTCCGTTTCGTTGTCAGTTCCTTCCAACAGGGGATACATTGGGGGTAAATGTTCGTGAATGTACACGGGCCTAGTAACAACTTCTTTGCTACCCGGCTTCAAGAAATTCAAGTTATTTTCCTTCGGTATAGGAAATTTGGGTACTGGCGCTGGACCTGGTGCAAAGTTAACGTAAGTAACATACTCCTCCAGTTCCTGCAGATTGATGCCCATTTCGTGAAAAGCCAAACCCAAATGGTCCAAGTTGGGTTCGGTTTGCCCAAATTCACTGGCATAGTTGTTGGTAGTTTTACTTATTTGGTGAACGTAACGTGCTAAAATGTCCGTTAAAACTTCCAGAGGCGTCGAGTTTATAGAATGCCAACCTATTGTCTGTAATATCTTAGCGACGGCTATTTTGCAGTTGTCACGGGCGTACTGCGCACTCATTTTGGTCACTTTAATATACACTAAACGAAAAAATGTTTATAATAAAATTAATGAAACGTTTATTGGTAATACGTCCTATACTAAGAACCTATAAAAATCTACTTGTATATCTACTGAATCCTTCTTGTGAAATTTGTATGAGGAAGGTAAGTCGTATCGCAATTCTGCTAAAACTTCTCCTTTGGCCCCCAAGGATTCAGCGTGTTTTAAAACGTGTTGCCTTTAAAGAAAAATTATAAAATGACTGTTTCAAATATTTAAATGTGCATTCACCTTGTAGCAGTTTTATGAAGAGAATACACCGCATTATTTGACAACTTAATCGCTGCTTCCAAGAACTTCATATCGGTCCCGGCATTGTGTTTGGTTCCAAACGGAGGGTTCATCAAAACTGTGTCAAATACTTTAACAAATCTAAAACAAGAAAAACCATAACACCGTCAAACGCAATTACATTTGCAACACTCATTTTTAGGTAAACATTGCAAAATAGCATACCGATTAGGTATATCCTTTAAAACATCACACTGCACTGCATCTACATTAGTAAGTTCATGATCATCGACATTTTCCGAAAATATATCAAGAGCATCAGAGTCTATCTCAAAACCTTCAACTAATGCTGCGTGTAAAACTGCAGCACCTATAGAGAGAGCACCACAACCACTTCCAAGATCAGCAACTACTTTACCAGTTATATCACCGTATTGCGACTGAAACAAAGAAAAACGTTTAACTAATTTATATAAAAATAATCCACAAATAAATAAAATATATATCAATATTGTATATTCAAATATTTACTACCTGAATCGTGTACAACATATGGGATCCTAAATGGGATGGTGTAACGTACTGTTCTAACAACAGTTTAGGCTTTTCAAATTCGGAAATACACTGGAGACGCTCTTCTAAATGTTTTAATTTGAGACAGGGGAACATTACTTCACTTTGTGTCAAAGCGAGGTAATACAGGTAATATTAAATTACCAAAGGAAGAATCCTGCGAGATGAAGAAACCAGTTGATTGGGTGTGAGCGGTCTGGAGAGCGGCTCTTTGAACAGAGTTCATAGAATGACCGTCAGCACTCTGAACTGTTGTGGAACCCAGAACTGGCAAAGCAGATGAGTTTAAAGTCGAGGCAACGCCTTGTTTAAGCAGTAACTGTTTCTTGAGTTGTAATTCTTCCAGTATTTTACGATTTGCTAATTCTGATAAATAGAATTATTTCATTCTTTAATATATAGAAAATATTAAAAATTATTACCTCTTTGAGCGTTGGGTTGCGGAAAAGCCATCAAAAAATAAAATATAACGAATTCTTTCCGACATAAACAACGCAATGAATCCAACAATGTTAGGTTAGGAAAATGCCAGAAACCAGAAATTAGAACAAACCACTACAATGCACCAACATGAGAACAAAAAAGAAAACTAAATAAAGGTAACTGCTGGTGCTGGAGCGTATTAGTTTATGGGTTTTAGTAGTGATGGGCATAATCGACCAATTTTAATAATCGAGTTATCGGTAATCGAGTACTTCTAATAATCGAGTGATCACTCGAGATACGAGATATTGGTCGTTTTCATCCCAGCGGCGCACAAATATGTTTGTATTAGTCATATATTAATTATAAGCGTAGCTAAAAAAAAAAAAGCTCACGCACTTCAAAACCTAACCACTTTTTCGTTTTATTCTAAAAAAAAAAGGTTACGCAATCAGTGACTATTTGCAGTATGCACTAACATTTTGGGGTGCAATCGTAGGGTAATAATCACTCGAGTGGTGGGAGTAAACATCTCGAGATATCTCGAGTGATCTCAATAATCGAGTACCACTCGATTTTTCACTCGAAATCTCCCATCACTAGGTTTTAGCACAGAATAACATGCAATTGGGTTATTATGAGGGCCTTTCGATTTGGCAAAAATGGTAGCTATTAGTTACTAATAGCAATTTAGAGTTACTCTGAACTGATATTAGTTGCTAATAGGTACTATTTTTGCCAAAACGAAAGCCCCCCTGTGGTTTGCGTTGTTAGCATTAACATAGGAGCTTTCATTTGTTATCTTTTATCTTCATCTGTTACACTACACTTAAAAAAATAATAAATACCGGACTTGCCTTTAGCTTATCATAGTTTATGTTAATGCTTCATTATATAAATTGAAATTTATGGCAAATAAATTAATTTAACAGCACATCAACAGATGAGCAAACTGCTAAGGGCCTTTCGATTTGGTAAAAACAGCTATCAGCAGCTAATGGCAACTTAGAGTTACTCTGAACTGATATTAGTTGCTAATAGGTACTACTTTTGCCAAAACAAAAGCCCTCCTTGTGCTCATATGACAAATGTTTGCTGGCATCTGTCAAGAAAAACAAAAATAGAGGTTTAGAGGTTAGATTTAATGTTTATTGTTTACGTTTATCAATTAGTGGCTTGCAATAGACAAACATCTTGCAATTATGAAGTCCACGGTCCAATCTTCAAAGTCCGTATCAAGTTCTGTCAGTTCTAAATTAAAAAAAAGTTCGAAGGAAAAGGAAAAAAGAAAATCTCAGTCAGGTTTAACAGACAAGAACCCGAGTGAAAAGGGGTCTCCTGCAAAAGTATTATAATACGAACTTACTATTACATATCTTTAAATGTAGGTGAATTTCAGGATTCTAAACAATATGCTGGAATTAGCTCAGATTCGATTTGTATTTATGCAGAACAGTCAACATATTATGGACACTTATCAGAAGAAGTTTGCAATGTATTAGCTGAAGATATTAATTATAAATTGCGATATATTATACATGTATGTACGTCTTACATTTTATAGTGTTTTCTGAGTAATTCTTCTTTTAGGATGCATTATTAAAGGCCAGGCTTTCTGGCCGAGATGTCATAAACTCCAGAGACATTGATGAAACTTTTCAAAATTTGTCTATTGAAAAAGTGTATGGTGCAACTGCAAATCCTAATTGGGTTCCATTTGGAGATCAAAATTTACTATATTTAGATGTACGTATCACGTTTTATATATAAAGTTTCTTGAGAAGTAATTAAATTTTCAGGATACAAAAATTAATTTAATCGAATTAGCTGAAGAGGAAAACACCTACGTTCAACAAGGTAATATAATTCTTCAAAAAAGTTGGTACCCAAATCTAGAAGAATCGGAACCGAGTCCAGCTTTAAAACATTATTTTACCACTATCTGCAAATCGGTGGTAGACAGCGATGAAGAGTTAAGAAGCATGGCTTTGAAAGATATTAGTGAGAATCCACAAGTTGGCGCTATTATCGAGTGGTTTTACCACTTTGGATATTTTTTACTGATGAAAGATATTACCTACGACTGTCTAACGTTAAGTGCTTTAGATTTAATAGAGACACTTGAAAACAGTCCTCTAGGAAGTGCGAATGTATCCGAAAAACAACTAAAACTGCTTGTGAGACTACTCTTACAGAGACTACTTATTTCGACTCCAACGAAAGAAGTACTCAAGCCGATGTGTTCGGTTTTAGCCATACTGTGTTTGAGGGAACCTCTGAGAGAAATGGCTATCAATAAAATTAATAACAAAATCGAGAGCCAAAAGAAGATGCTTCCGGTTCTTACTGCCATTTATTTTTTGGGAATTGATGCAGTGAGGGAGATTTTCTTGCCGAATATAGAGTATTTTTTAGGGAAAGTCAAAACGACTCTGGATGATGATCCCGAAGTTATAAATGTGGTTCTGGTGAGTAGGTTTTTTGTTAGAATATAGTTACAGACTACGTGGTATCCGTTTTGATTTGAGTGAATTGTATATCCACGGCGATTTTTGGCTTTTTGGCTTTCAAATGTCACTAGAAATTAAAATTTGTCTATACGCATAAAAAAAAAACGTGGGCTTAACTTTTGACGGCACAATATGTTAAAAAAAATCGAAAAATGTCATATTTTTCTTCCTATTTAATTATGTATCTTTTCAAGAGTTGATTTTAGGCAAAAAAAATCTTATGGGTTTTGGGGGGCAGAGAGTGCGACCCCTTCGGCCTTCTAGAGGTCCGATTTTGATGATTTTTTTAAATCGATGTCTCGCAGTTTAAAAAAAACAATTAGCATATTTTCAAATGCCTATCTTTAATAATTATTGGTTTTTCAAAATACACTAATTGTTTTTTTAAATCGCGAGACATCGATTTAAAAAAAAAAATCAGCAAAAACGGACCTCTAGAAGCTGAGATAATCAAAATTTTTAAACGCGTCATGGTTTTGAACTCGACGATTCAATTTCGAGCAGGCCGAAGCGGCCGCGCTCTCTGCTTCCCCCACCACCACCACCACCCGTACCATTTTCTTAAATTTCTCGCTTGCATAAATAATTTTAAACACGTTTTTAAGTAGGTTGCCAATGAAGAAAAGTATTGTAAACTTAGACCTGGTAAGTACACGGAATACCAATGGTATTTTTCGAAAAATTTGCCCGGATGTCCTAGTAGATTTAGTGTAAATGACGGTTAACTTTGATCGGTTATAACTATGTAATTAATTGACCAATCGATCTGTTTTTTTTTAAAGAAGCGTCTTTCCAAGAACTTTTAAAACCTATTTTAAAAAATTTGATTTGGTTGAATAATCACAAAGTTATTCTCATTGTTTATAAGTATAAAAATTCGACCAATGTTTAAAGAAGCGCCAGAGCTCTCCTAATTGACGGATTCGAATTTTTCACAAAGCGTTTGAAAGCTTGAGAGCCCTTCTATATGTGATTAAATTGTCAAGTATCTAAGGGCATTGGTTTTTGCTGTGCAAAATTTTGAAAATTTGCAATTTTTTTTTAAAATTCTGGATTGCAAAATTATTATGCAAAATCTATCGAACCGATTTTGATGAAATTTGGTGTGATGATTCTACATAACATGAAGTTTTCTTGAGTCAAGTATGAAGGTCCTATACCCAATTTAAAAGACCCCAAAAAAGTCCCTAAAAAGTAATGTTTTTTAATCCCAATTTCGGCGATTTTTTCGATTTTTACAATAATAAGGGGCCATCCATAAATTACGTCACATGAATTTTAGGACTTTTGAACCCCTCCCCCCGTCCTTGTCACAGGTTGTCACATTTTTATAATCCCCCCCCTCCTGATGTGACGTCACACATTTTTTAAATTTAGGAATATATTTAAAAATAATCGAGAGAAAACAGCTATTTTCATTTTTTACTTTTTTTTTTTTATTAAATAATCTAATAAAATCAACATAAAGTCCAATATTTCAGATAGCGAGAATGCTAAATTATTAATAAATATAGATCAAGTTCGTAGATTTTTATAGTTTTTTATTCACATCTAAATTTCGCGTTTTAGTATTTTAAATTTTAACATGTGACGTCACAAAACTTTTGACCCCCCCTGCCCCTTGTCACACATTGTCACATTTCGGTGATACCCTCCCTCCCCATTTATGTGTGACGTAATTTATGGATGACCACTAATCATGATTCATTCAATTTGTAACTAGTCATATTTTGTAAAAAATTTAATTACATCCATTTTCCATTCGCCTAAAATCAAGTCTTGAAAAGATACATAATAGGAAGAAAAATATGACATTTTTCGAATTTTTTTAACATATTGTGCCGTCAAAAGTTAAGCCCACGTTTTTTTTTATGCACATAGAAAAATTTGCATTTCTAGTGACATTTAAAAGCCAAAAAGCCAAAAATCTCTGTGGATATACGATTTACCCAAATATGGACTTTTTAAAACAGATACCGTCTGGACTATTAGCTTTATAATTTGATTTGTGCAGGAATTTTGTGAGTGGTATGGGCGCATATTAACAAAATCTGCAATTTATACAAAATATTACAGAATTAATACAGAATTTACAGACAACACATACTTATTGTCTCTGCAAGATACATTAGTTGCATCTTGCAGAGAGCTTAGTTTGTATTTCTTTTTGAAAGTCGAATGACCAAGTTGGTGTCTTCTTTTCTTAGCCTCCGAGGAACTTAATTTCACGTCTTAAGACTTATGTGACGATACACGAAGAACTTGACATATTCTCAAGCAATTAATAGCAAGCAAGACCTAATGCAGAGCCTTCACAATGCCACGAACATAATTCATGAGCAATCCATTCATTGGAACTTTCTCAAATTCATGGGTGAAGTTTCTAGTATATTTGCTTTTTTTATTATTTTATTGCATTTATTTTGCCAGTAATCGACATGGCAGATACACCGGCCTATTTTATTTTTGTTGGTTGTTTGTATAATGACGTTTTATTTCAAATAAGCTCGGTTGAAAGTACGAGTGTTTAACGACATACTATTTTCTTTAAATACTTCTTCCTTTTTAGAGTATATACGGCCTAATATGTAAGGCCAGCTACAATTACGATTTCATACATAGCGCCTTTCATCAAATTTTTGGCGACATCCTCGTTATGTTTTGGAGACCGAGGTCGTTTACAGTTAAAGGTAAATTCTCCAAATAAATCGCTTGGTAATAATTATAGGTATTTCAGCATTGGAAAAAGACGAGATTAATTTTGTGAATATGAACACTCAGCTCATAAAAACGAGAAGAAAAGTGGACCGTAATATAAAGAAGGGCCAAGCCAAGTGGTCCCTCGAGGATATCTTCGACGTACCCACGCAAGACTGTAATGTGAAAAGGAAAATCGATGAACATCGTTTGGGTTTTAAGCAACAAAAGAGAGAAACGCACTTGACTGTAGGTAAAACCAGTTTATTGTTGTCGGTATTAAAAAATAAAAAAGCTAAGATACTTCCGAGGTATTGTGACCATTCTCTCTTATCTTATTGTTTCTAAGTTAATAAATTATTTGGAATAAGATGTCTTGCCTTATTTCGTGAATGTGTTTGTTAGATTGTTGAGTTCGTTCAGAATATCTGTAATAAAGGAAAAGAAAAAAAAAACGTTTCAACTTGATAAATATGTTACCTGTCATGTGCAATTCTGACGTCTCGTTTTTAACCGCAGAATTCATAAAGCTCAGTTTTCGGAGGTGTACGAGTTTTGAAAGAGGGATCGGCTTGTTCCGCTCTAAAACAGAACATCTTAAGGCTGGCGTTTTAAAGACAAGAAACTGCACTTAAAGTATAGTATTTCCGAAGTCAGTTGAACAAGCATCAAATTTAATGAGTTTCACGGGCATCCATAAAAATGTTTTCTGCTAAACGTAGAAAATTATAATGATTTGTATAATATGATGTGTAGAAAATTTCTATTATACAGGGTTATCCAAAAGTCCTGGTACGGCAGAAACATTTTCGAAGAAAGCTATCTGATGGTGCTCTTGGATTTGACCTTGACTTTGACTTTCAAGGTTTTTTAAATGAAAACCCCTATTTTTTATTGTGGATTTGGAAAGAGCAGAAAATTTTACATCCAGATGGTCTTGACCATAACTTTGACAATGACCTTCAAGGTCATTCCAAGGTCAAAGTTGTTTTTTCATTGGTAACCCCTATTTTTTATTACGGATTTGGAAAGAGCTGAAATTTAACCTTCAAGTGCTACCTTGACTACGACTTTGACAATGACCCTCAAGATGTCAGTCAGGTAAATTTGACCTTGAAGGTCAAGGATTGGTCAAGGTCATAGTTCAACGTAAAATTTCCTGCTCTTTCCAAATCTGCAATAAAAAATAGGGGTTCCTCTTTAAAAAAATAACGACCTTCAAATGATGAAGGTTAAAGTCCAGGTCAAATCCAAGGTCACTATCAGATAGTCAGAAAAAAATCCTTACACTTTCGTCCGGAACATTTTTTCCCAAAATGCATTCTTCGAAAGTTCTGCCATACCGGGACTTTTGGAAGTCGACCCACACTTGATCTTGAAGGTCATTGTCAAAGTCATGATCAAGACCATCACTGGACGTAAAATTTCCTGCTCTTTCCAAATCCGCAATAAAAAATAGTGGTTTCCATTAAAAAAAACTTAACTTAACCTTCAAATGACCTTGAACGTCAAAGTCAAATCCAAGGTCACCATCAGATAGCCAGGGAAAAATGCTTATACTTTTGTCTGAAACATTTTTTCCCAAAATGCTTTCTTTGAAAGTTTTTCTGCCGTACCGGGACTTTTGGATAACCCTGTATGTTCATTTGACCAACAACATATTTTAATTATTTATGTCCTCAAACAATTTTATTATAATGATGGTAAATTTAGTTTTGTTCCGTTTCAAAAGGTCTCCAAAATGTCATGTTGTAATAATATTAGTAAACCAAATATCCCTCTTATTTTTCCCTTTCGCATCAAATTCCGTATTGCCGCACTGCACTGCCAGGCGACTTGTCGACAACTGAATTTTATGACGCAATCAGAGCAACAGTGCGCATTGCTTTTTGCCCGCACGGTTATTCAACTGAGCGTATACATTTCTACCACCTGCATGTTTCGTTCGACCAGTCCTGTATATGGGTATGGCTAAATAAATGTGGGAACAAGTTTTTCAAATATCTCAATGCCGAGTTGCTGCTTAGCGACCGAGCCTGGTACAATACCTTGAAGTTCTTCAATTGACTTCGGAAAAACTATAAGACAATGATAGAACAAGAAAATCTATCTAAACTTAAAATACAAGGATTCCTTTAATTTTTCGCAGTAACATCACGGAAAACATGGGCGCCCATGTAAACATCGGAATATACCTTTCCTATTTTGTATATAATGACCAGTCTGCTATATGACTGATAATTATGATAAAACGCCCCCCTTAAAGAATTACCCACAAAAACGCACTTACCTTTCATCTGGTAAATTTTTTTAAAAGTCGACGCTTGCACATTAAACGTGTCACTTCTCGTTGAACTTTTGTACAGCACGCTGCGATCTTTCAAAATCTGCTTTCCCCTGTTGATTATGTGATCCAAAAATGGGTTTCCCGTCGGTTTCTCGGCGGACTGGGATTTTTCCTGCAGCTGCAAATCTAAAAATACATTAACACGAGTTTTTAGTTATCCTCTCAAGGCCTGATTTTAAAACGAAGTTTGATGAGTACATTATTACTGTTTACCCAATGAGGTTTTATTTTCAGCCTCAAAATCTTCTTCGAGGAAACACTGGCAAACTTTCCTCGTAGTCGAAATTAATATCTTGCATCTCTTTAACAGTCTATAATTATTACCACAATTCTTTTCTGGGCCCCCCAGGAAAATTTTAGCGGCACAATTTACTTCGTGAAGAACTAAAATTCACGTATTTATCTGCAATAAATTTTAAATAAAAATGCAATCTACCTTTTTTGAAATTGTTAAAATGCTCTTTTGTACTTTCCACGTCCTTTTCTACTTGTTCCTCCTTTAAAATTGTAGTCACAAAATCCTTTAGCACTTTCGATTGACCAATTAACGGTTCTAAAGCTTTTTGTTCTAAAACAGAATCCTTAGATCTGACTATCTCGGAGATTTCGTCGACTATCTGCTTGTTTTCATCAAATATCACCTGTAACAAAATTGTAGGAATCAAATTAATTTAACAATCGCTTCACCTACCTGGCAAAACGCAAATGGGTCGATTATGAGAAAAATATGTTGTTTCAAGATATTCGCTTGCTGTAACCAGTGATTTTTCAGTAACAATGCCAGATTGATATTATGCACAGACCTCTCTAACAGTGCAGAGGTAAACGCAGGCACTAATTCACATTCGAGAGCTTCCAGACTGGCTAGACAACTCCTTATTTTTATACCGCCTGGAAAAAACTTTATTAAATCATTATTATCAACAAAATTGATAAAAATGTTACGATTAGTACATGTTGAACAAGAAACAGCAAAGAGTCCAATCTGCATTATACGATCAACATGCAAATCAAAATCGGCCACTAGCGAATCTAATTCTTCCGTTTGTCCAATATTTTCCTTATCGAAACAAAATTTGTGTATTACTTCTAAAGCATCCGTATACTCTGAAAAAACTTTTAAGCAAAGTTTTAGGACAGCCGTATTCACCCTCCTTTCCAATGCACAAAGTTTATCGGTACAAGAGTCTATGAATAAATTTATCATAGACGAATTTGCTACCGCTTTGTTTATCTCTTTCGTTAATGAATCCAAAGAATCTAAAACCTATGAAAACTTCATCATGTAACTGAAAGTATATTTAATTTTATTACCGTTTGACTGCTTCCTCTAATAATTTTGCAATCTTCTTGTAAGGCTACTTGAGCAATAGACATGGCGTGACACAACACCTCCTCAAACAGTGCCTTGGCGTCATTACAGATTGCTTCTATAATCTCTTTGTTTTTACTCGTATCTATTTCGGCAATTTTATCGAGAGCCGAATCCATCCACTTAATAAAACTACCCGAAGGGTCTAATATACTCTTGTTGGACGATAGTGTTTCCACAATGCCATCTAAACACCATGTTATTTGTTTCTTTGCACAGAGACGAGCTTCCTAATACAATAATAAAATCTGGATGAAGAAAACAAAAATTTAACTATGTACTTTAATTTACTTACAGTTAGAGCCTCTTCAACTTCAGATTCTCTAACAAAAATATTAATTAACAGTGATAAAGAAGTTAACAATTGACTTAAATACAATAATAAAGTGTCTCTATTTCCTTTTTCCAATTTTCCCTTTAATTCCTTCTTCAGTTCACAAATTTCCAAAATTATTTTTGCAAGATGTTTGCAAAGGATCTAAAATTTATTTACAATTTTACTTAACGAATAGGTACTCTAAATATTTAATTGTTTTATACTAACTTCAAACCAGTTTAAAACATCTTTACTATTTAAAATGTAACCAGTTAAAGTTTTCATAAATTCATTGCATTCGGTTATTTGGAACTTAATGTTATTGATTTTCATTAGAGCCATTGACTTGAATTTCGTTTAAAATGTTTTATCTTTTATCAAACAAATCGGGGCAAATATAAAAATGTTTTTGTAAATCAACCCAAATCTACAAATAACGAACTTCGATTCGATTTGATTTGACTATGACGTTTCTTTGTCAGTAACACCAACCGCAAATTATTCATAAACATGGTACCAACATAACATATAAAAACTTTAAATAGATTTCTTCTCTTCTTCGTCGCTCCCTCTATCAGCCTGTTTATAAAACATTACATCATAGGCGTCCCCAGAAAATACTTAAAAACTAAATGTAGGTTTATAGTAAGGAAGTATGTACTTCTAAAAATTGAAGGGCTCTGATCATATTTCTTTAGGACTCCCTATAGTATGGGCTATGGATGAAATATCTATTTCATAATCTAAAGCTGTATCTAACACTTTGTCATATTATTTTTGTAATTAGTAATTGATCTTTATGGCTGGATAGACACGCGATTTTTTAATTCTCTACCTGCTTTCAAAACGACATGAACATCATTAACAAAACATGATATCGTCCTGCTACAAAGTGTTCTTAAAGTGTCTCTTTTATTTGTTACAATTGATGGGACTATTTCTTCCAGTTGGATTTATCGACTTGACGTTACACGAAAGTAAATTCTGGATTTTCAAGCAAATCTATGCAGTTATCATATCAGTCCTGCTCATTCTCAGTTACGGGTACATACAATGGTTGGGAACGCACACCATCTACAAAGTACAAAGGACATCGAATATTATTTTACTGGTATTGACCCTCACTAGTTTCATATTCATCTGTTTGCTGTCTATACTGGGAAATGCGTTCTGGAACAAAGAAAGGTGGGGCCATTACCTGAAACTCCAGAGGATTTTGAAGTCGAAAATGAAGCTGAAGCTGAAAAGGAACAGTTTGTATTTTTGTCTGGAGTTTGTATTTGGGCATTTGGCTCTATTTCTCGTGGTCAGTATTGACCAATGGAGGTAAGAATATACATTTCTTTATTTAGCTTTATTAATTAATATTAATTGCATTAATTTTTTTAAGCAAACTGATCGTTTTTCTATTACATAGCACATCTACCATCTAATCTAGTGTGTTATTGTTACTAATGTTAGTAATTTAATACAATAACTCACAATTACAGTGATCACGGTGGATATGCCATTGATATACGGCGAAAGTTAACAAAACGCTGCGAACACATACCGCAGAATGTAAGCAAGTCGTATGATTTTGGTTGCGAAACGAATGTTCCGTGCTTCCCAATATTGTCAAATGCAACTAAATGCAAATTTAAATTGCTTTATACATCAACATATTCACATTTTAAATAAAAGCATACTAAGAAATTCCTTAACATGACCGATTTTTTCTCTGTTTCAGACATTATCTTTTCGATGTGAGTCGATTGACCCAAATATTGTTTGTAATCCTAAAAGACTCTCTACTTTATTACATTTTCCTAATAACCATCATAATTTACAACGCACTGCTGCAGCTGAAGAATCATTTTAATTCCGTGAGAACTTTTATAACGAATACCGTGGGTCTAGAAGACGATACAGGTCAGTTCACACTATATAGACCGTTGGAAGGAACCATCACCTTTCCGGCGACAGTAATAAGCGACAAAACTCTGTTCGGTCTGGTTGAGGCTTCTAAGATTCTAAGTATCCTCTTCGAATGCGTGGACATCTTCAACCAACTCTTTGGACTTGTCATAATGTTCATCAACATGTCCACAGTTCTTACCATATTGACGTCTTTGAATACGTTATTGGTTTCAGGAGAAACCAACCAGTTGACTACAGAAGTTGTACTAGATTGCATCTTTGAGGCTCTATTATTCTTGGTAAGATTATTGATTTCGTCAAGCTTTGGTAATGATCTTGGGATATTTTAGGTGTGGAATTCCTCCATCTTGTCCGCTTCCGGTCTTCTAAAGGAAGAATCTTCGGAGATTGTGAAGATTTGCTGCAAGTTGCAGCACCTGTTGCCACAGTCTTCGCAAGAAAGGAAGGAGTTGTTGAATTTAGCTCATCAAATCAGGAGAAAGTCGGTAACAGTGTCGGCTTCGGGATTTTTCGATGTTGATTTTATTCTCATCCTCGCTGTTTTCACGTATGTTGGGAATTATATTGTTGTGTTGATTCAGTTCAGTCATATGGACTTTTAATAAAGTGTTTCAAATCCAAATATTAAACAAGAGATTTTTTTTATTGTTACTCACCCAATGAGGGACTTTTGCACGCGTATACTTGTTCTGGTTCTAGTTTTAAAAAGTTAAAAGATAGGCATTTTTAAGGTCAGAACTTAAGACCTCCTTAGGCCCAAAATTCTGTTAGGATTTTTATTAACCAGCACATTGAAACCTCTACATTTAACTTCAAAGACCAAGGCTAAGTTAGGGCTAAGACTTTTTTATAAACTCACTATATTTCGCGTAATTTTATTTATTAAAGAGTACCGTAATGAATATGATTTGTTAATGAAATTAAATAAAAAAAAAAATCACTGCTTTTTAAATTTATTGCAAGCGTTGTCAGTGTACATTTACTGTTTATTAAACTGGATTAAAACTATGGAATATGAGAACAAGTAGCCAAATACCCTGCTTGATAAATTGCGGCTGATGTAATAAAATCCAGCAGCGCTTGTCTTTGTATTCAGCAGATTAACTACATCGCTCAAAATAACCAGTTCGTTTCTTTCCTCGGAGCATGGATCAACGGTTTGTTGCAAGTTATAAGATATGGTCAAAGTGTTCCTAGATTCTTTATTTACATCCTCACAGTACAATACTATCCTGGAATGAAAAACCTAAAAAAAATAACAAGAGTGGACATCATTATTTTTATTCCGCAAATTCATACTTACTATGAAAACGAGAGATAGCGATGCCAGGAACATAATGGTCCTAAAATCATGACGAGCATCCGTAGTCACTTGCGTGTAGTCTATAGAGAGCATAAGACTATTAAGTACTTCCAGTAAGGATATGATTATGTTCTCGGTCATCAAAAAGATCTGCCATCCAAATAACTTATTGAACATATCGACCAACTCGGACAGCAGAAGATAGTAATCGGTCACCTCTTTGATACTCTTCAGGTTGTTGATTCTCTCTGGGGCATATTTTGGAATGAAATTATTGATGATGTTGTGGAGATCGTTGCTTTTTATCAACATGTTGTTGATTTTCCTGAACCTAGCCCTTAAAGCTGAAGCGAAATGTACCAGGATCAAAGCTGTGATGGTACCGTGATAGCAGTTGACGTACCTAAACAGGCAGAACCGGACATATTTCCAGCCGTAATTGGAATACAGGACGTAAGCATCGTATCCGAAAATGCAGAATATGATGAAGTGACTCAGCAAAATCTCCATTCGCAGGAAATTCTTCCTTTGCACCGGTATATTTCCTCTGTTCAGTTTCTCGTCCACGTACTTGAAGAGATTCACAAAAGTGTTCCAAGTTTTGGAATTCAAGAGGCAAACCAGAATCGTTATTACATTCAGTATCGTCAAAGCGATCATCGAGATAGTCCTCAAAACGATATTGGTGGCCTTGAAAAGAGGCAAAAAGTACACTATTATCCCATAGAGGGAAGATGAGCTTCCCAGTACGATGAAGGCCATGATCCCAACAGCGTAATATTTGAACCATTTGGTATTTTTCGTTTCATCTAGAGGCGGCGTTATGGCCAACTTTTCTGACAATTTCAGCAGGCCGAAAATGGATCTTATGTCCGAATCGGGATCGTAGTAGCTCATGTTTAAGGAAACGAAACGCGATACTGTTGGGAAAATTAGCTCACGAGCCACTTTATTTGCTGTTGTTAATCGTTTATTGTTACTTCAAATGGAGAAATTCTTCGAAATATAAGACACGCGATTATTAAATTAGTGAATTGTACCGACAATGTAATAACAAGTCATGATACAAGAAAGAAAAAGGGTAATTTATTCGATTTTCATCTGTCTGGAAGCTTTTTTTGGATGTTTGTGTTTCTAGAGATAACATTTATTATATTACGAGGGGAGGTATTTCTCCATTAAATTAATTAAATTGATGTTCTTATTAATACATATCTAGAAGGATGGCTATAATGAAGGCGTCTCATAGTCACCGCCCGTTTCGCCCTTCCACAAATGAGATCCACTTCCACTTGTAATTCAGCGACCGGTGGTCATCTTTGTTTTCGTCGTTTGCCTTTTCTGTAATAGATGTCACTACTTATACAATTCCGACTTAGTATTCCGATATGTTAATACAATCCGTTAACACAGGGCAGCACAATTTGTCTAAGGTGAGGCGCAGCCCTAGAAAGAGTGATGCCAGATCTACAGATTTTTTTGGAACTGGGGAAATAGGGAATTTTGCTTTATTTCTTGGGATTTTTAAGTCATTTTAAAAAGTATACTTAAATAACAACTAAATGCAGCTGAGTACTATACTCCATTTGAATAACTTCTCAGTAGGGGAAACAAGGTCACTAGATTTACAAACAGAGGTATCTACTAGCTACTGTAAAAAGTTTTCTTTGTTACGCGTCGTGCTGCCCTCTGTTAATGGATGGTATTAAGTAGTGACATCTATTAAAGAAAAGCCAAACGACGAAAACAAAGATGACCACCGGTCGCTGAATTACAAGTGGAAGTGGATCTTATTTGTGGAAGGGCGAAACGGCCGGTGACTATGAGACGCCTCCATTATAGCCATCCTTCTCTATCGCACGGATTTCTATCACTTACTTTATCGCTCTCACTTAACGGCCGATGAACCATGGGGACTTTCCGACCCTGTATATAAAAAAATGAAAATAAAATTTAAAAATATTTAAAATAAACATACCTTTAGAACCTTAGAATAGAAAAAAATAGAATAGAATATTGAAATAATACAAATAAATAACAAAAACAACGGAAAAAGACGAATAAAAGAGAAATCAAAATAAATATGCCATAGAAAATATTGTTTTATATCAATCGCATTTCAGAAATGTCAAAATTCTCCATAATATTACTATTTAACATTTTTTGATAAAAGGGCGACTTTTATAGCATATAAGTAAGGTCAGAAAATAACATAAACAAAGTACTACTTCTGGAGTTGAAACTGGGGACTCTATATGAAATGTATTTAAGCTACTTTCTGTATTTGAAAAATTCAGTAAAACGGTCGTTCGTTGGATACTGAGAAATTTTTTCTAATTCGTGTGAAGCTACATATGCAGCTTTATAAACAAGTAAAGTATAATACGTTCTAAAATTAATTCTTCACCGACATAGGTGCTTATAACAGATATAGTATGAAGTAAAACAGGAATAAAATTGCCTAAAAATAAACTCATTACAGTAGATAAATACACATATTTAAAATTTATAAGTTATATGCATTTATAGTTCACGTTTAGGTATTATCTGAACAAATATTTTCAAATTATAGCAGAAGTATTTATTTTTCAATCGAATGGATATCAATTTATCATGTTTGTTTATTATTAAGAGGTAGTTATCATCGTATATTATCGACTAGATAGGTACCTACTATATAAAAATCCATGAGAAATATCTCCATTCAAATTATATACATATTTTTGTTCAAAATACAACTATATATTTAATTTTGCCAATTTTTGGGAGTTTGTGTACGCCACTGACTAAGAGATTCCCACCGAGAAAACAAGTTTTATGTTTATATAAAAGATATCAACCGTAATAGTCAACGCCACTGGTTGCGGATAGCATTAAGTTTTAATTTCCATTTGTTATTTGTCCTATGATACCTATGCTATTTGAAATCGTAAATCATATGGATAGGTAGAGATTAACAAAATTTATAGGTATGATACCTAGATAGATTAATATCTATTCGCATATTTTGATGTAGGTGCCAAAGTATTTTTTATGAAAATGTAGGTAAGTATATCTATTATTATTAGCCAGTGGTATTTCTACTTCAACTGTTGTTTATGTTTTTATGCAAATAAGAAAACCTAAATATCATATGCGGGCTCCAGGAAAAAAATATAAATACTCGGCGCCGGCGCAGTGCAGCCAACAATTTAGGGAATTTGAAATACCAATCTGTCAAAACAGTTGCCTGACCTGACCTGAGGCTTTTTCGTGAGTGCGGTGTTGTGTATAGGTGGAAATTCGTAGCACGAGTTATTTGTACATATCTCCATTATTTATAAATAATTAAGGAGTAGATGAAGGTAAGATAAGCGCTTATGCGCCATTTCAAATACCGTCCATGTCACTAAAAATCAGCGTCGCTGCCAAAGTGAAGGGTAGCGATGTTGATGACTTCTTTTAGAGCTTTGTAATTTTGTGCGTCACGATGTTGGTAAACACAATAATAAATTATTCCAATATTTAGTTACAAAATTTGCATACAGTATAGAATAGCTTCCTGCTTCTGAACAGTATAGGAAAATGAGGAACTCCACAGAATTTTCATATAACTTTGATGACCATTTGTTTACAGGGTCATCTAGAGTTCTTTGAACTTTTCTATGAAACAAATTCGCAGCAGTTGCTAAATAATTTGGTTTGCCAATTGAAATGCAACAGAATCATACAAATGCAACTTATCTATGTCTGATTTTCTTACAAAACTAGTACTGTTGAGTTCATTCTCTAAGTTTTGCAATAAGAGTGGCTCAAAGGAAGGAACAGAATGAAATTAAAATAGACAAACTAGACAAAGTAATGTTATGGAAGTTAGAAAGTAGAAGATAGAAATAGGTAACCTTTCCCTAGTTGTCTCTTCTCATCTCATTTGAAACAATTTGACAGTGTCTGTGAAACAAAGGATAACTGTAAACCGCATATTTTGTCACATTATTTGTCATGAGTGCTTATTCCAGTTTGTGTCGGTAGAAATTTTTAGTAACAATGGCTTTTTCTTTTAGGATATATTATGCCACGAAAGGATAAGTTCGAAAGCAATGCCTCATCTCGTCGGACACATACATACATGTCTGCCGAAGACCAAGCCAGTGGGAAGAAATCGTATTGGACGGAATTGGAGATAACAGGGACTATCCGTAATTTAAGCCCGAACTTATTTCAAATGACTCATCTAACAGCTTTATATCTAAAAAATAATTGTCTTCAGAGATTACCCACTGATATATGCCAATTAACAAATTTACGTAACCTGGATTTAAGTTATAATAAACTCCGCTCACTGCCTGCTGAACTAGGAGAACTTATACACCTCAGGTGAGGAAGTGTGTGTTGTGGTTTGAGGTTAAGTGCATCAGTGTGTCTTATTCGTGCCGTTTAGTCTAACCCCTCGTAAACGTAAGTAGGTGCAATCGGCTTTTTACTTCAGCGCTAATATTGATGATATTTTGATTTGTTGATCAGGGTAAGATTTAAGCTAGAAAATAAGGACAGTCTCAATGCCAGTGTTTAGAATATTTACAGTTCTGAGGTTATATTTACTTAACCTATAATATGCATTAATTGAAGTAATACAAGTATATTTCTTTAAATAGAGTGATCATATTGATTTATATTACATAATTTTAATCTTGTTATCTTAAAAATATTATACATGCACAGCAAACGTCAACAGCTTCTATAAAAATATACTTTTAATAACATCTATCTAGATATGATCATGATTGATAGATTTATTAACAAACAGTCAAAGCTTAGATAAAGATGGATATATATTTCTTTAATATACGAGTACCACCATTCGACAAACCTCCAGTCCAAGCGATGCATTTTAAAAATATGTTTTTATTCGGTTTTGTACGCACCATATGACATTTGAATTTTTAATAAATGCTTATAATTAGATTAATTATTGTGTTGAGTAGAAGCTATAAAAAAGCCATGGTGTGTTTGTTGATTATTGTAACAGAAATGAGTCATTCTACTTTTGTAAATAAATTATTTTATCGCATATTTGACAATAATTTTTTTATAAATTATTACATTAAATCTTACTCCTGATCGGTTTTAAACTGTAACGAATTTCCAATGTTTGCTTAATTGTGGCTAAAGTGAGGTCCTGTTCAATTCGGTTGTGATGGAATAGAGTTAGAGAAAAAAGTATTTATTTTATTAAATTTAGGGAAACGTACATTTTGATCAGTGAATGGTTGATTTTTTTTGCGCTTCAAAGGTGTAGTTGTTATAAGAGCTCGGGACATGTTGCAGAACCATTTTTTTTCAAAATGTTTGAAGAATTTTTTCCCAACACATTTAATTTTTTGCTTTTATTGCAATACAACTGGGCGTATAATATTAGCATAGGTATATGCATATATTTTTTTACAACGGAATTGGAATTGCTAATTTAACGGTATCCAAAATCCAATTTTTTTCATCTCTGCAAACTGTATCACAATGTGCATGTCTCGAACTACAATTATAATCCTTTTGTTAAAAGCTCTCTTTTATGCTGGTTTTTCATTTTAAAAAATAAAAAATATTGTAAGCGTTTCGTAATTCTTGAACAGAAACACTCTTACTAAACTATTATAGATACAAATGAAAAAGGAGACAATACAGACAAATCGTGAATGGACTATTTCAAATAATGTGCCTCCACAACTAAGTCCAAAGAATTATTAGCCGTAGGAGAGTCCACAGCGGATTCGGTTGCAATATTTACTGCGATTCACCTACTTATCGTTTACCAAACCGACCCAAATACTAACCCCGTTTACTTTTGAAAGGATATTAACATCCGTGTACCTGTACCTTTGCCCCTGCTACGTCCCCTTTTTCCGAGACCTGTTCAACGAAATCAGTACAATTTCCCCCTATCCGTCCTTACCGACCCTCGTATATCACGTGGCAATCATGTAAGTCCCCTAAACTCACGTGCCTGGCGTCTCTCCGGACGTTACACTCATGGGGCCTTTGTTTTTTAGGGAGTTGCATCTCGCCCACAACTACCTGAGAATCTTACCCTACGAACTGGGCAAACTCTTCAATCTGATGATCCTCAGCCTTATGGGAAACCCACTAAGCAAAGACATTATGCAGATCTACAGTGAACCGAACGGGACGCAGAAGTTGCTCACTTTCATGCTGGACAACTTGCAAGGTAAGTGGACTTTTATGTTCGAAACCAGACTTTTTTTTTTGTCCGTTACAAACCAGATAAATATTTTTTTGACAGTGCATTGTTACATATTTGGATAAAACACTTTTTACAGCGATATTACATCTGCTAGATCTATCTCTAATAATAAACGAGATGGTCAAGAATGTCTCAGTTTATTGTTAGCATACTCTTGGCTATATCTTTTTTATTATCGGAGATAGACCTATCAAACCTTATATTATTGTAACTCTGAAAATACTGTTATGTCCAAATGTGTAAATGTTTGTATACAGGGTGTTCTATTTAAAGAAAACGCAAGTTTAATAAAAAAAATATTGGGAATGCAACAGTAATTTCATTTTTTCTCTGTATACTTTTAAAATCAAAGAAACTTTTCTATAACTTTGATTCATACAATTTTTTCCTAAATATTAAAGCAGCATAGGGAAAAAATTACTTGCTTCTGCAAACATTTTAGATTTTTTTTTTTGGAGTTACTGAGCATTATCCACTAATAATTATAATTTTTATATTTTTATGCGCAAAGGTTGAAGAATATTTCTAACCCAATCTATGCGTGATAAATTTTATTCGAGACAAAATGTCTTCTAATATTTTTCTATGTTTAATATTTTTATATATCAAGTTTACACATTTTTTATGATTTATTTTTATTTTTTTGTTTTATTTTTATTGTTAGATATATTTTTTCTTCATAAATTCTTTCCAAGTACATAACAAGAAAAAATGTTTTAATTTTCTTCTGGAAATATATCTCAAATTACTGACAAGAATACGGTTTACTAACAGTTAAAGTCTTTCCAAAGTCAGTTGACCATGTAAAAAAACGCCTGGCAATAAAATTTAACGACTTTCATAGGCGCCCCTAAAAAAGTTTTCTGCCAAAGGTAAAAAATTATAATAATTTGTGTGTAATATGTAGAAAATTTCTATTACATGTCCATTTGGCCAACAACATATTTTAATTATTTATGTCCTCAAATAATTTTATTATATTGATGGTATATTTCGTTTTGTTCCGTTTGAAAAGGTCTCCAAAACGCCATGTTGTAATAATATTATTTCTCCCTTTCCCAATTGTATCAATGATTAATGGTGCTATAATAAATTAAAATTACTTGAATCACAACAAATTCCGCATTGCTGCACTGCACTGCTACGCAGTTTGTCAGCTACTTGTTAACAGCTGAGATTTATTCCCCAGTCACCCAATGCAGTTGTGTTAGATTTCGTTTACCCGCGCTCGCATTCTTCAACTGGACGTATACATTTCTACCACCTCCATGTTTAGTTCGACCAAACCTGTATATAGGTATGGCTAAATAAATATGGGAACAAAGTTTTTCAAATATTTCAATGCCGAGTTTTTTACCGAACCTGGTATATACAGTCAACCTCTTGGTTCTTCAATTGATATCAGAAAGACTTTACCTGTTAACTTTATGAAGAAGCATGAAACTTTTTTTTTAACACAATATACCTACAATTCGTAAATATTGTTGCAGTATTTTTATATTTGTTTCATGTTCATATTTATCCTATTTACATATGTTTTGTTATTTATTTTGTCACCGTTTATTTATTTCTTAAATTCTCAACTGTATATTGTAATGATAATATCTCTACCTGTCATTCTAATCGCAAAGATTAGTCCAGAAATCGGAAACTTGTGTGGGGGAGGGGGCGGCGCATTATTCAAGAAGCCGCATTTTCATAATTAAAACAGGAAAAGACATTTTAGTTGTCTTCTGTTGACATTTTGGTCATGTGTCTTGTGTTACCGACAAGAATACACTTGCTAACAGTTACCTACTAACAATTTTTATTATTATAACTTTTTGTTTAAAGCCGGATGAATTTGTTAAAACCTAAGGACATGTCATTGGTATTGGAGAAATAATGTATGTAAATATTTTTCCATATAATTTACGTTCTTATTTATCATATTATAAACTACTGGAAAAAATTAAGGGAACAAAAAATGTTTTAGTGATTTTTGCAAGACTGTAAAAAATGGTTGCAGTGAGATAAAAAGCCATTTGAAGCTTTATTTAAGTCTCAAGTTTGAAGAGATATTTCGACAAAAAATTTATTTGAGCTACGGTTATCGAGAAAAAATTATTCAAATTTTTTTTCTAACTTAATTAATGAAGACGTTAGCTTGTTTATTCAGGTTCAATTTGGTTTTTGAAAGGTCTCGGTATGACTATTGATTGAAATGACACTTTTTTTTATTATTGATAATTCAGCAACAAATTATTGCATAGTAAATCCAAGAGCAGTTTTTAAAACTTGAATAAATTCTCTAAGGGGAGGTATCATTGTCTTCGAAGCAAAAAATTTTTTCATGCCTAATTTGAAAAAAGTATAAAAAAATGACTTTTTACGGTTTTTTAGAAAATTTACAGCAAATTTACAAATGTTGACGAAAAGACAAATGTTCAGAGAAATTTTTACAGTTCAATGTTCCCACCATAATGTAAATCGACAAGTTGATCCATCAAACCGTATTTCTGTTCCATCCGAATGGTCAAAGTTCTTGAAATAATTAAATTTGTTGCTAGGAGATAAAAGTGTAATTTTTCATTCAATGTCTCGGCAACAAATAATCATATGGAGATCTTTCAAAAAGCAAATTGAAGCTGAATGAACGAATTAACTGACCTCTGCATTGATTGGGTTCGAAAAAATTTTGGAAAATATTTATCTGGAGGTGTTCATTTGATTGCTCGATAACCGCAGCCCAAAAAAGTTTTGAAATTAGACTTAAAGCTACAAACTCCTTATTCTTTTTTCTCGACACGATCACTTTTCACTGAGAAACAGCCTTTTAAAAAACTCAAAAATTTTTAAAAATTTTTTTGTACCTTTAATTTTTTCCAGTAGTGTATTTTATCATTTATTTTACAATCATTTATTCTTTTTTAAATTTTTTGCTGCATGAAATTTCTTCATAATTAAAACAGGAAAAATTTAATTAATTTACTTTTGTAGACATTTTGGAAATATTTCTTGAGTTACTTACAAGAACAACTTCAATTTTTATAACTTAAATTTTTATTATTTTTTGGTATTTAAATTGAAAAAAAAAAGATTTTGCTGTGCAGACATTTTAGAAATATTTCTGCTTACTGACATTAATAGAATATTATTATATTATTATATTTCAATACATTTTTTTATTAGTGTACATTTACATATTTATTCAGAATATTTATATTTAATCAATTATTTTATCCTTATTTTAATTTTGTCATTAGCTTTCCGTAAATTTTTCGCTATTTACTTCAACTTTACTCTTTCTTTATAGACATTTTAGAAATGTTTCTCGAGTTATTTGACAATACTGTGTCCGGAACTGGATATTTTCGGTTAACCGCACACGATAAACTGTATCCAGAGTATTTTTAAATCCATACTTAATATTTACATTATCTATTCCTTACGCGTACGCGAAGCAAAACAGCTTGCTTACGATTTATTCCGTTGCGTAACTTCCATATCAGCGTACCTAAGCCGCTAAACTGGGGTAAGAAACGGATTTATATAACCAGTTGGTTAGGCAACCGCCTGTGCTTGCTTGCGTGAATCATGTTGTATAACTGAAATCGGTGTTGGTTTTTTCGCGTTCGTACGTAGGCGGCGGGTTATGTACCTAGTTTTATTAACTGATTATTTAATAATCCGTTGAAATAATTAAGCGGTAATTTGTATGCGAGACGAGGGGCATGGTTCGTTCTTGAAATTGACGCGCCATTATGTAATAAACTTGCATTGTAAATGGTGGAATATGACACATGATAATTTATTGTAAGAAATAAACAGGTAGCAGCAGAACGACTGTGGTTATCTTGCCTGTAATTAAGGTGGTTTCGTTATTGATTGAGATTTAGAGTATAATAATGCAACACACAAAATTTCATTAAAATCGGTTCGATAGTTTTCGCAAAATAATTTTTTTAAACAAAATTTAAAAATATTTTTTCGAATTTTCAAAATGTTGCAGAGCCTCAAATAAAGCATCTAGATACTTGGAAATTTTTTCACATAGAAAAGCCCGCTCAACCTTCCAGATGGTTTGTGAAAAATTGAAATAGGTTGATTATTTTTAAACAATAAGATTACATTTATCAATTTGCAGTTTAGTTTTTTCAAAAAATTATAATTTGAAAACACTATTTTTTCGTAATTTTATCTGTAGTTAACCAAAATTTTCAAATAATTTTTTGTTTTAATTTGTTTAAACAAAAATTATTTAAATGTAATAATTATAGATAAATATATTCATATTCAGAATGTTGAATTATATACGTAAACTATTCTTTTTATTGAAAAAGTGCAATAGCATAGATAAATAATAAATTTTGTTTATAACAAAATATGTGCAAATTAGACAGTTGGAATTACGATATTCGAATTCCTTGGCTCGCGAGACATCGGATTAAAAAAAAAGATCGAAATTGGTCCATTAGAAGCCGAAATAATGCAATTTTTTTTACCTTCGCATTTTGAACCTCCGAATTCAGTCTCGGAGCGAAAGCCCCCTCCCCCACTTTTCGTGTTTTGAGTGACTTTTCGCGCGTGCGAGCGACAGCTTTTCCGCTGATTTATCTATGTTGCCGATAACTTATGCATATGAAAATTTTTTCCAGCTTAAAACTAGGAAAAACGAAGCCACTGGATTAAAATTGTTTATAAATTAACGGTAAATGCCGATAAACTTTGACCGCTTTATCTCGAGAACCAATAAACGGAATTTAAATTAAAAAAAAGAAGTGTCATTCCGAGTACTTTAAAATGATACTTTTTGAAAAAACTTAAATTGCAAATTGATAAATATAACACAGCCCCACAAAAAAAAAGTGTTCGGACTTGTGGGTCGGACATATGTATTCCCATGTATTTTTCGACGCTGAATCCGATCCCGAGCTCAGAAATGGCCCTCCACGTCTGGAATTGGCCCCAGGGGCCAAAAATGG